CGTCACAGTCATGTTTTCTAGACCTTTAATCATTTTTGTTGCTCTTCTCTGGACTTTCTCCAATTTGTCCACATCTTTCCTGAAATGTGGCGCCCAGAACTGGACACACTACACCAGTTGAGACCTAATCAGCGCGGAGTAGAGCAGAAGAATTACTTGTCGTGTCTTGCTTAGAATACTCCTGCTAATACATCCCAGAATGATACTTGCTTTTTTTGCAACAGTGTAACACTGTTGACTCATATTTAGCTTGTGATCCACTATGACCCCCAGATCCCTTTCCGCAGCACTCCTTCCTAGGCAGTCATTTCCCATTTTGTATGTGTGCAACTGATTGTTCCTTCCTAAGGCCTGGCCTACACTAGCCTGTTATTTCAGAATTAGCCGAGTTATTTCAAAAAAAAAATGACCACATGACCAAACGTTTTTTTTCGATTTAAAGGGCTCTTTAATTCGATTTCTGTACTCCACCTCGGCAAGTGAAGTAGCGTTTAAATCGAGATCGCAATCCCAGGTTAAAAGTATTGTGGACGCAATTCGACGTTATTGGCCTCCGGGAGCTATCCCAGGATGCTCCCTTGTGACTGCTCTCGTCAACACTCTCAACTCCAATGCACTAGCCAGGTGGGCAGGAAAAGCCCCAGGAACTTTTGAATTTCATTTCCTGTTTGGTCACCAGCAGCACAGGTGACCATCAGCACAGTCCACCATCACAGGCGACCATGCAGAGTCCATCACAGGAGATCACGCAGTCCCGGATTTGCAGACAAGCTCCAGCATGGTCCGAACGGGAGGTACTGGATCTCATCCCATACTACATTCCAAAAAAAGGGACGCAAATACCTACGCTAAAGTCTCCAGGGCCATGACGGAAAGAGGCTACTCCAGGGACACAGAGCAGTGTCGTACAAAAATCAAGGAGCTCAGGCAAGCATACCAAAAAGCCAGGGAGGCAAACGGGTGCTCTGGGTCACAGCCCCATACATTCTGCTTTTACCGTGAGCTCCATGCAATTATGGGGGGTGATGCCACCACTACCCCACCACTGTCTGTGGACACCTGCAAAGGGGGAGTTGCACGAAGCGAGGAGGAAGAGACATTGGAGGACGAGGAGGAGGAGGACAGTGCACAGGCGGCAAGTGGGGAATCCCTTTTCCCCCCTAGCCAGGAACTAATCTTAACGCTGGATCCAATAGCCTCCCCTCACTCCCAAGGCGGACTCCTGTTCCATGACCCTGGAGAAGGTACTTCTGGTGAGTGAGAGCCTGATCGGAGCCACGCAGTGGGGGGCGGTGGGGGGGGGGGAACCCAGCCGCGCTGGGTTGTTAATGTTTAGAGTAAATGGCTCCGCTCATCCCTGCTCTGAGCCTGATCGGAGCCACGCGGTTGTTGTGTGCAGTGATCATCCCAGAGAGCCCGCAGGCCCTCCTTTTATATGGCAAACCCACCAGGCATTGCTTGCTGTGAGAAAGGGGGCCCAGCAGTTTGAAAGCATTGAAGTGAATGTAGAAGAAGCAGAACCCCGTGTTGCCCCTAGGGGCTGCCTGCAAGATGAATTCTGTTGCCCGGCCGTGTGTGATAGCTTACTCATACCAAAGTGCCCCCTTTGTTCTCTGCAATGTATTTTTTAAAATACATCCCTCCCTTTTTCTCCTCCTGCAGGCGCAAATGTTTCAACTCGGCCCCTATCTACTCCGTCCCAGAGGCTGGTCCAGATTAGAAGGTGGAAAAAACGAACTCGGGACGACATGTTCGCCGAGCTCATGCAGTCCTCCCGCACTGATAGGGCCCAGCTGAATGCATGGTGGCAAACAATTGCGGAGTCCCGTAAAGCATTACAGGAACACGAAGAGAGGAGGGAGGCGCGTGATGAGAGCAGGCAGGACGCTATGGTCAAGCTCATGGGGGAGCAAACTGACATGCTCCGCTGTATGGTGGATCTAATGCGGGAAAGGCAGCAAGACCACAGACTTCCGCTGCAGCCCCTGTATAATCAAACTCCCTCCTCCCCAGGTTTCATAGCCTCCTCACCCAGATGCCCAAGAACACGAGGGGGGAGGCTACAGGGACCCACACACTCAACCCCAGAGGATCGCCCAAGCACCAGAAAGCTGGCTTATGCGAACTTTTGATTTGGTTTCTGGACTTGTTCTTCCCTCCTCCACCCCCCTAATCCAATCCCCCCCCCCAAAGTCTACCTTCTAATTTCTCTCAATGCGTTGTGCATCAAATAATAAAGAACAGTTTTTAAACAATTTAGATTTTATTTCCTTTCATATAATAGGGTGTGGGTAACTTCAAGAGAAACAAACACAACTGTCACACCATACCCTGGCCAGTCATGAAACTGGCTTTCAAAGCTTCTCTGATGCGCAGCATGCCCTGCTGCGCTCTTCTAATTGCCGTGTTGTCTGGCTGTGCGAAATTGGCAGCCAGGCAAGTTGCCTCAACCTCCCACCCTGCCATAAAAGTCTCCCCCTTACTCTCACAGATATTGTGGAGCACACAACAAGCAGCAATTACAATTGGAATATTGGTTGTGCTGATATCTAACCGAGTCAGTAAACTGCACCAGCGCCCTTTCAAATGTCGAAAAGCACATTCTACCACCATTTTGCACTTGCTCAGCCTATAGCTCCTTACTACTGTCCAGGGTGCCTCTGTACGGCTTCATGAGCCATGGCATTAAGGGGTAGGCTGGGTCCCCAAGGATAACTATAGGCATTTCAACATCCCCAACAGTAATTTTCTTGTCTGGGAAGTAAGTCCCTTCCTGCAGCTGTTCAAACAGACCAGAGTTCTTGAAGATACGAGCATCATTCACCTTTCCCGGCCATCCCACGTTGATGTCGGCGAAACATCCCTTGTGATCCACCAGTGCTTGCAGCACTATGGAAAAGTACCCCTTGAGGTTTATGTACTGGCCGCCACAGTATGCTGGGGACAAGATGGGGATATGCGTTCCGTCTATCGCCCCGCCACAGTTAGGGAACCCCAGCGCATTGAAGCCATCCACAGTGGTCTGCACATTTCCCAAAGTCACTACCCTTGATAGCAGCTGGTCAATGATTGCATTGGCTACTTGCAGCACAGCAGCCCGTACAGTAGATTTGCCCACTCCAAACTGATTCCTGACTGACCGGTAGCTGTCGGGCATTGCAAGCTTCCACAGTGCTATGGCCACTCGCTTCTCAACTGTGAAGGCTGCCCTCATTTTGGTGTCTTTGCGCTTCAGGGCAGGGGACAGCAAGTCACAAAGTTCCATGAAAGTGGCCCTATGCATACGAAAGTTTCGCAGCCACTGGGAATCATCCCAGACCTGCAACACTATGCGATCCCACCAGTCTGTGCTTGTTTCCCGGGCCCAAAATTGGCATTCCACGGCATGAACCTGGCCCAATGCCACCATGATCTCCCAATCGCCACATGCCGTGCATCTAGGAACGTCTGTGTCCAAGTCCTCATCAGTATAGTAATCGCACTGTCGTCGCTTCCTCGCCCGGTTTTGCAGGTACAGAACATACTGCTGGATAATGCATGAGGTATTTACAATGGTCAAAACTGCAGCAGAGATCTGAGCGGGCTCCATGTTTGCCGTGCAATGGCGCCTGCACGGGTAATCCTTGAAAAAGGACGCGAAATGAGCTGTTTGGTTCAAGATGGCCGATAAAAAGCGGTAAATAGTTGTCTTCTGTAGCTTCCACGGGAGCCCAGGACAGCTTCCGCTGCTTTCTCCAGATTGTCTGATCTGTTCTCTGTTCACAATGGTCGAAAAACAGCAGGGAATTGTTTCCTTCTGTAGCTTCCACGGGAGCCCAGGACCGACAACATGGAAAAAGTGGCAAGAGCAGAGTTTGCGGCGGAAACGTGAGCAGAGTTTGCGGTGGAAGCTGTGCGGCTCTGTTCACGATGGCCGAGAAACGGCAGGGAATTGTTGCCTTCTGTAGCTTCCACGGGAGCCCAGCACAGACAATCTGGAGAAAGCGTCGGAAGCTGTGCGGCTCTGTTCATGATGGCCGAAGACATTCGAAGTGGATTCAACATACCAGGAGACAGGCGGTGCACCATGCTGCACCATCTGCTGGCAGCATGGAGTCTGCCGTAGCTTTCACAGAGGGAGGAGCGAGTGACGGCACACAGCCAGAAAAACCCGCGAGAATGTTTTTGCCCCATCATGCACTGGGAGCTTAACCCACAATTCCAATGGGCGGCAGAGACTGCGGGAACTGTGGGATAGCTACCACAGAGCACCGCTCCGACATTCGATGCTAGCCTCGGTACTGTGGATGCACTCCGCCGAATTCGTGTACTTTAGTGGGGACACATAACATAAAATGTATGAACTCGATTCTGGAAATTTGAATAAAATAACTTCGAATTAATTTCGTACTATAGACGTACCCTAAGTGAAGTACTTTGATTTGTCCTTATTGAATTTCATCCTATGTACTTCAGACCATTTCTCCAGTTTGTCCAGATCATTTTGAATTTCAATTCTATCCTCCAAAGTACTTGCAACCCCTCCCAGTTTGGTATCGCCTGCAAACTTTATGAGTGTAACAGAGAGACTCTGCTACTGGGAGGGTTTCACCATGTCTCAGAGGGTTACACCCTGGTGGGAGGGGGCTAGGCCTGTACTGGAATAAGGTCACTCTGTGCTTCACACTGTGGCAGAACCTAGAATGTCCATTACCGGGGAAAATCCTGGGGGGAATCGACATGTGGAATGGACAAAAACCCCATCTGAATTCTCTCAAATTGCCCTTCTCGCCCTGGCAGGCTACAGATTAACATCCACGTTTTGCTCCACATCATCCCATCCTCCGAGGGGGAAGGAAATGGCTGCAATGGAGCTGGCTCAGGTAAGGGATTATCAGGGAGCTGGTGGTGGGTTCTGCTTGGAGGGAGAGGAGCAGTAAATGCATAGGAGGGTGGGAGCTGCTAGAGGTGGTGGGAGGCAGGAAATATCTCGGGTGGAGAAAGGGAGGGGACAGGATGTGAAAAACCTGCTGAGGCTTGTGTAATGTAGGGTGTGATGGGTTGTCACCCCGGGGTGCAGTCTGGGGGGCTTGTGGGAACTGCTGTGCCCTCTAACCCTCAAGCTGGGCTGGCTCTTTTCACACTGCTTTGCTGGAGATTTAGCCTTGTTATCACCCAACAGGACAGCAGGTGGTGCCATGCATCCAACTAAGCTACCTGAGTGCTTTACCTAAGCCACTCAAGGACAGACAGAAGACAACAGCCAATTTCCCAGCCATAAGTGGTAGCAAACAGATCAAAGCAGATTACTTAGCAAATATCAAAAACTCAAACCAAGCCTAACATACTAGATGGATAGAATTTGAATTAGCAATTTCTCACCCTGACTGATGATAGAAGCAGTCCAACAACTTTCCATACACAAGCTAGAAATCCCTTTACCCTGGGACCAACACTTTCCCCAGTTCAGTCTTTGTTCCTTAGGTGCTTCCAGGAGTTCTCTTGTCTGGGGAATGAGGTCAAGAGATGATGACACACCCCACCTTATGTAGCTTTTCCATATAGCAGGAACCCTTTGTTCTAAACTAAGTTCCCAGTCCAGTTTGTGGAAAAATACAGGTACCAAAATGGTGTTCATTGTCATGTGGTCTGGTCACATGCCCTAGCATGCCCTGCTGAGTCATAGTAGCCATGACTCATAGGCTGGCTGAAACATTCACAGGAAGGCTAAGTTCTTCCATGCTTCATTGTCTTTGTTGATGAGCCATCAGCACTGTCTGGCTTCTTCATTGTTGTACCTGAAAGGCTAGTTGTGGGTGTTACCCAGAGTAAACACATTTGAAAGACAGATAGAGAGTCAATATCCATAACTTCAGATTCAAACATGATCCATGCACACAGGTAGGATAATCATATTCAGCAAATCATAACTTTTCCAATTACACCGCACATGACTCATCTTGTACAAAGTGCCTCATAATTATGTTCTAATCATATGATAATCCTACCACTATGCTGAATATGGGGTGTAGTGTCAGATAGGTCCTAATTTCAAGGCACAGGAGTTGGGAATGGAACTTCCCCTCTTTGTGGAACAGGAAATAACCCTCCAGCCAGGGCTAGGAAAACTTCCCAGACTCCCAGTGCTGGAACCTGAATCTACTGACACTTCATTAGTTAGCAGCACCCCCAATATATGTGGCAACTGCAAATTTTATCAGTGATGATTCTATATTTTCTTCTAGGTCATTGATAAGAATGTTAAATACCACAGAGCCAAGAACCAATCCTTGCGGGAACCCGCTAGAAATAAATCTATTTGACCATGGTTCCCCATTTACAATCACAGTTTTTAATCTATTTAATGTATGCCGTGTTTATTTTGTATCATTCTAGTTTTTTAGTCAAAATATTGTGCTGAACCAAGTCATATGCCTTACAGAAGTCTAGGTATATTACATCAATACCATTAGCTGTGACCAAACTTTTGATCTCATCCAATAAGGATATCCAGTTAGTTTGCTAGGATCTATTTTCTCTAAATCTTTGTTAATGGGTACTAATTATATTAGCCTCCTTTAATTCTTTATTAATGAAATCCAGTATTGACTGCTCCGTTATTTTGCTCAGTATTGATGTCAGACTGACACTCTTGTAATTAACTGCGTCATCTCTTTTATAGTTTTTAAATATTGGCACAGCATTAGCTTTATTCCAGTCTTATGGAATTTCCCCAGTGTTCCAAGTCCTAATTAAAATCAATATTAACAGTCCACCACGCTCCTCCACCAGGTCTTTCAAAACTCTAGTTATCTGGACCCACTGATTTAAACACATCTAACTTTAATAGCTGCTCTTTAACATCCTCGTGAGTTACTTTTGGAATGGAAAGACTGTCGGCTTCAACATCTTATGATGAGTTACATCATCTGTTTTTCTTCAAGTCCAGGAGAGAAATATTTATTGAACACTTTTACCTCTTCTGCATTATTTTTGATAATTCTGCCATTTCCTTCTAGTAATTTACCACTACCATTTTTAGGATAAATTTTGTACTTAATATACTTTTTAAAACTTCCTTCTTATTTTCATTGGTTGATCATTGATTTCTGATAGCTTCCCTTACCAACTTTCTACAATTCTGACCTTCTAACTTATTTTCTTTACTATTGACTTCCCCTTTCTTCCATATATTTTATTTGGAGAGTGTTGGGATTCCTACCAGGGAGCTACCAGCAGGGTCCAGAGACAGCCCCATCTTCTATATCAAGCTCTGGCTAGTAGGTATGTGATAAATGTGACAACCCTGCCTCCGTCTGTCAGCTGGGAGACACAAAGGTTCTCTCTTACTACCCTCTGATGCCTCCTGGATGCTCTAGGCAAGGTGGGGTGGGACTCTGTTAACATGTGCCTCCCGGAGCTTCCATTTACCTGGTGCTGCTGTTCCGTGAATAGTGGGGTTGTGAGTGGGGCAGCAGGTACTGAGTGTTGGACACTCTCTCTTTCAGGGGCCGGTGACTTTCGAGGAGGTGGCTGTGTATTTTACCAAGGAGGAATGGGCTCTGCTGGACCCTGTTCAGAGATCCCTCTACAGGGATGTCATGCAGGAGAACTATGAGACGGTGGTCTTGCTGGGTAAGGAGTCCTGTCCCCTGGGTTATTAGAAGCTGTGGGGTCTCTAAAGAACCTCAGTAGTAATAACTTTATACTTTATTCGTCATACAAGTTTTGACAAGTTTCCTTGCCCCCCCTTTTTTGCCTTACCTCCTATACACTAGTATCATTTTTGGATATGTGCCTTTTTGGTGCTGTCAGTCATTTTAAAATTGCATTGAATGTATCCTTATTGCTACATTAGTAACTACATTAATAACTGTAGCTTTCATGCCTTTTTCTCATTTTAATAGGAAAATATGCCGCCTGTAGAATTCTAAATTGAGTAAATAGGTGTATGACTCATGCATGGCTTGTGTGACAGTCTTCTTTTGATAGGAGATGCATCTGAAGAAGTGAAGTTTTTTACCCATGAAAGCTGATGCCCAAATAAATCTGTTAGTCTTTAAGGTGTCACCACTGGACTCCTTGTTGTTTTTGATAGGAGAGTGTATAATGTTGACATTCAGGACCCTACAGGTGAAGGGAGAACAGAGCTGTGGGAGGGGAGGAGAAGGGGGGAGGAGATAATTCTGGGGTGCCAGGACATGGGGAGGGTGTGTGCAGGATTAGAGCTAAGAAGCAGCAGGAAGGGATGAGGTAGTGAGAGACGAGGAGGGAACAGAAGAAGCTCCCAAGGTACCGGGAGGTGGTGCCAGCTGAGAGTAATGGGACGAAGGGGAGGGGAATGTGGAGGAAGGGCACCCAGGAAGTGGGCTGGATGGGTCAGTGGGAGGGAGGAGAGGTTTAGGGATCTGGAGCTGTGGGGGATCCCAGACCTTTAACTCTGAATCCCTACCAAAGCTTTAGAACCTACACTCCGGTTTTATTTCTGTTCAGTTTCGCTTCGTTATACATTTCCCCCCCAAATATTATTATTTTAACTCTTGACCTCCCTCTCTCACTCATTACCCCCCTCCCCGTGTAACCTCCCCAACTCTATGCACAGTGACCCTGGTCACCAATCCGGAGTCCTTGCTGCATTCCTCCCTCCCATAGCGGGGCCGCTACCCAGGCACAAATGGGCACTTTGATGATGATGTCACAGGGTCCTAGTGTAGCCTGTACAATTTTTACACCTATAAGATTACATATTGGGGTACAGCTTGCCCTTGTACATGGCTACTCAAAGTTAATTGAGAAGATGAAATTTGGTGAAACACACAGAAACTTGATTTAATACAGACAGTTATAACTGAAATCATAGGCAAGGATCAATACACGTAACGATTAGACTAAGATAAGTATAGTTAAGAGGGTCTTGCACTGTGCATACTTACAAGTTATGTATACCATTGGAAACAAAGATCGAGGGGCAAGGGAGACCATCAGAAGGGTTGCCCTGCTTCACTTTACACTGTCTCAGGGACCCGACAAAATGAAAAAATGGTCACTAGGAGAGGTAATTTATCCATTTTATTATGGTAATAGGATGGCCTTATACCATATCTGCTCCTTTACTCTGATTACAAGAATGTCAATAGCTACCCCAACCCATATGTGGCCTTTGGGAAGTCCATAATTAAGCATCAAGCAATAATACTCATGATTTACATCACTTATTTATTAATAATTCCAATATATGAATGTGGTCCAACTGCTGAGATACTGCATAGCAACCTAATTGCTAAAGCCCACCCCAAACTTCCTTCTTTCATAATCCTGTGGCGTATTGCACCTGTTTGTGGTTCCTCGTTAGTCTCTCAAAATGAGGGTGCAAAATAACTGACCTGGGATTCTCTCCTTAGATCTATTCAGGTAAATCCTAGACTTCAGCATAACTACTCCCACAAAGCCTCCACCTAATATAAGGCCCTTAACTGTAGCAAGCTTTGGCTACGTTTATACTACCACGGTCAGTTGACCTACACTGCGCAACTCCAGCTACATGAATAAAGTAGCTGGAGTCAGCGTACCTTAGGTAGAGTTACCACAGGGTGTACGCTGCAGGGGGTCGACTTACTTTACTCTTCTCATCTGGGTAGAGTACAGGGGTCGACTGGAGAGCGATCTGCAGTCGATTTAGCGGGTGTTTACTACACCCGCTAAATCGACCACAGGTGGATCGATCTCAGAGCGTCGATCCCGGCTGTAGTGTAGACCTGCCCTTAATAACCCATTTATTTCTGATCACCTCCTTGCCCCTCTACGCATGTTCCAAGCTAATAAGCAATACTCTGATAATGACATTTTACCTCTAGCGAGTATAAAATTGCCCACAAGACATGGTGGTCATAGACGATAAAATCAGGTCAGGGTCAACAGGAGTGAGAGTTTGGAGAGTCTTGCCACCCCTCTCCCCATCTGCAGCAGCCACAATCTGTCTTCTCTCCAGGCTCCTTGGATCTTTGAGCCTGTCCCTCCTGAGGTTGCGTGGCCCAGTTCTTGTTTCTTACAGTCTCCTTTTCTGGAAGAATTAGAGGCTGTTGTTCCTGAATTTTAGTGTTTAATTCCCCAGCCTTCTCCACACACTGGGGGAGTTTAATTCTCCCTCCCATTACACCTGAGTCACTAGATTTCCTAATTCCCCAGAATGTGCTTTTGTGATGTCACAGTTCTGGGGTAGCTAAGCCTTTGACCTGCCTCCATGGTCTGCTCAAGGAATGGCCCCTCAGGTATCAGGCCTCTAGCCAGCCCCTCTCTATGGGTAGGGACCCACATGCCTCTCCTTTTTGACCAGGGTTTGAGGATTGCAGCTTGTCTTCCACTGTGTTCACTGGATTAACATCCAGTTCCTGTGCTTTGTTTTCCCTCCAAGGGCTGTGAGCAGTGTGTGTGTGATAGAGGTGGGAATTTTGGTGATACTTGTATGATGTCAATACACACCTCAGTTTCCCTCTGTGATTGGTATTGCTATGATCATAACGAGCAGGAGACATGAGGTGTTTTGTCATGTAGCTGTCATGAGGTGATATGAATGGGTCACTAAGGACTGTCTGGGGCCAATCTACATCAATGGAATACCCGACAGAGACAAAGGAATAATTGTGACCTGTCCATGGGAGGATCTCCGCTTGGCTGAGTGAAGCATACATGGACTCGTTATGTTTTTGGGAGCAGAAAGAACTGGGCTCGCAGACGCAGGGAGCTCTACTGGAGCGAAGACAAATGAACAGTCACAGTGAAAGGAAACCAAAGCGTTTTCTACAGCAGCATGGATCAAGGGCATTGGCCAGTATGGACTATATTGTCTTCTTCGCTTCTCTGTCCTAATCTAAGGACTTTCCAATGCTGTGTTTTAGTTGACTAATAAACCCTGCTATGTTTTAAAAGTCTGCCCAGTGTCACAGCAAAAACTTGCTCTGTGCATTGACTGAGGAACAGTCTCTGAACAGGAGTGTCGTTCAGCTGGACCTGCTGGCAGAGCTCGCAGGTTGAAATAAGAGCGTTGAAGCCAGAGGCTCAATCTCAGGTGTTGAAGCTACACGGCCTATCCTTGTGGAAGAGTGGGACCCCTTGGGGGTCTAGTGCACTCAAGGGGCACTTCCCAAGGACTGTTTAAAAGCCAGGGCATTGCACAGATCCTATGGATCCATGACAGTGTCAGTGTGCCTTCTGGGGAAAAGATATAAAACAAGAAAAGCATCTAAATGCATATTTACCATTGCCTCCTCATCAGTCATCTTGGGAATCACTGGTTGTTTCCAAAATGTATTAAAGCCTTCCTTAAAAGCTTACCTCTTGGTTATCAGGTCTTGTCAGTTTGTAGCCCCAAAAGACCCCCCTCAGTCAGCTCAAACTCAGCTGTTTCTCCCCAAAAAGTCTGTCTTTTTCAGTGTCCTGAAAGAGGTAAAATCAGTCCCTGCTCCTTTCTTCATGGGGCAAAGTTCAAAAGATGGAGATCTGCATAACCAGCTTTAGGATCTGGCATCATCATCCCTTAGTGACACCAGATTGCACAGGAAACGCATCCCTCAGCCCTCCCCAGTATTATCTGGCCCATCTCAGCATCATAGTCTGTGAAGTATTCATGCTTTCAAGGGCTGGCTCAAATATACAGAGAACAGTCATAACTAGGGCCAGTGTTTGCTGGCAATGAAAACAGAGTAATTGACAAATATGAGCAATATATTATCCTTTACAGGATGAAAGTGCATTGCGGTGAGGGGACAGGAGCCAGCTGTGTGGGGGAGGTGGGGCCCAGACACTGGACATTGAGAGCCTAGAGCCGGCTGTGTGCTGGGGATACTGGGCATGAACCAGCTGTGTGCAGGGGAGATGTGCAGGGGAGAAGTGCTGTGAACGCAGCCGAGAGCCGGTGAGAGTGCTGTCCGCTCCTCAGCATGATGAGGGAGCCTGACGTCCCACTGCCAAGGGCCCCGCCTACCCAGGGGAATCTCCACGGTGGTTTTGCTGAGCCCAGACTTGTATGAGGAGGGAAGAAATTGGCAGCAAGTCTCAACCGCAGCGAGCCTCTGCCCTGCGCCCTGGGGAGGAGTCAGGTGTCTCTGGGCAGAAATCTGTGGGGTTGTGACCCTGCATGCCCCATCCACCCTCTGATCAGAAATTCCAGATATGAAGGGTGATTCCAAAAATGAAGAGTAATTTTGGGGAAAAAATGCAGTTATAGCGGCAATTTCCGGAAAACACTGGCCCTAGTCATAACATTAAATACGATAGTCTCAAGATGTATGCCTGTGTTCATCAGATCTGTCAGTCTGCCTTCAAATAGTTCACTCTGCTGGTGGGTTCTACCCCTTCCCCCATTCTGTGTCTGTTTTGTCTATTTAGATTGTAAATTCTTCAGGGCATGGGGCATCTACTATTCTCTGTTTGTACTTTGCCTAGCACAACGGAGACCCACTGTTAGTTGGCCCTTAGGCACTAAGGTAATGCATATGATTTTTTATAATAATAATAACTCTCCTGCCACTTTGAACCAAGGAAGATGGCCTTGGGACGTTACTGCTTAAAAATGAGCTGGGGTTAAAACCATGGAATATTCTTTGTGACAAGTATCCCACAAATTCCACTGACCTCCCTTGTTTTCTTTGCCTGCAGTAGGGTTTCCAGTTTCCAAACCTGATGTGATCTCGCAGCTGGAACGAGGGGAAGAGCCGTGGGTCCTGGACCTCCATGGCTCTGAGAAAAAAGTGCTCCCAAGAGCTGCCTGCACAGGTGAGGAATTGGTTAAAACAAGTCAAAAACTGTCCGTGAACAAAGGAAACATTTGGGGTGCCCTACAAAGTCCTTGTGAGCTCTCCAAGATCAAGATTGTTCCCTGCAGATGTGGAATCATTAGGCAGATGTCACTCATGGCTTCCCCCCTACCCTGACTGACAATTGGCAGCAGGTCCCTCCCCGATCTCGCTTTCCCCTGAGAGTTATGGTGCAATGAGGACCCAGAACTGATCCCTTCCTC